TTCAGCTACTTCAATGGAAAATTTACCAATTTTTATTCAGTATGGTGGCCGATGGAATGTTGACAACAGTTTTGTGAATTACAATGTCGATGATGTAATAGTTACTCCAAATATAAATTTTAAAGATTTTGTAAATGTGATTTCGAAACAACTTATGATAGATACTTTATTGAATGTTATTGAAATCAAATACACTGTCCAAAATAGTTCTCCACCAATATTGATACACAATAATATTGGTGTTTGTGTATATCTTGAGCTGCAAAAAAGCTTAGAATTTACAATGTATCCCCTTTGTATAACATCGAGTTAAAAGGATATGGATATGATCTGCTACAATTCAAATTCTGTTGTGATTTCCTCAGAGTGTGCATAAAGGTTATACATGAGAGATACAATAGGGATACAATTAATATGATTGAGTTAGGGTATGGAGAAGACTGGCAGGATACAGAATCTGATAAAAATACAATAATAACTTACCCTCAACACGTAGATGTAGATGAAGGTCAAATTTATAAAGACAAGGCTACGATAGTCAAAGTCATGAAGCATTTGGCAGTAAAGGAAAAATTCAAGTTTAAGGTACATAGGTCAAGTGAAAGCAGGTATCAAAATATTTACTGTATAATTATGTATCTCAATGTATATCATAGTTGATGTTAGAAGCATAATTATACAGAAAATAAATTGATGCTTGTAAGTCTGTGGCGGTACACTTTTAAGTTGTAGTTGTCACCTACTTATATTTGTAATTCAAAATGAAGTAACAGACTTGGATTTATTGGAAGGATAGGCTTTATACTTAACAAATATGATCTATATTTAATAATCTCTTTCCCTCCCACATTTCTTGAAAACGAAAACCGAATGAAATTAGTAAATGTGAAAATTTTACTAAAAGGTCATCTAGTAAATTGTGCTTCCTAATTACTCCAATAAAGAATAAAGAGTTAATCAGATTTTAGATCCACTATTTTTGGAAGAACCATTTTAGAAGATGAACCACATCATAGCATTTTATGAAAGTTCATAAAATCAATGCCTCGATCACGGCCAAAGGGGTATGTCCCACGCCGACCATGACCATAGGCCAAGATCTAGGATTGCGAAGAAGCTACGTCAAGCTTAGGTTCATCATAGGGTTCCATGATCACGTTTGGCCTAGTAATCAAATAAAATGAAATCAAATAAATTAGGAAAAAGTACAGAAATAGCCAATTTAAACTCAAACTTACCAACCTCTAGCCCAAAATTAGACACTTACCAAAAGTAGCTGAAAATTAGAGATACACACAAGGAAAGATTCTTCCATCTGACAATCACGCAAAAGATCTTCCTTCCTTCCCTGTTTTTCAACCGTATCATTTTCACAGAGACCTACATTCTATAAATCTCGGCATTCTCTCCTAAAAGATTCTCAAAAGGAGCTCCAAATTTAACTCAAAAATCTATCAATTTCACTATTAAAGCACCAATTTCCTTTCTCGATTTCTCTGTAGATACAGCTTTGATGAATGAACTACGAACAACAATCAAAATCAATCAAGGAATTAGTGAGTTTTGACCTAATTTCAGCTACTTCTATGGCAAATTTACCAATTTTTATCCAGTATGGTGGTCGATGGAATGTTGATAACAGTTTCGTGGATTACAATGTCGATGATGTAATAGTTACTCCAAATATAAGTTTTGAAGATTTTGTAAACGTGATTTCGAAACAAGTTATGATTGATACTTCATTGAATGTTATTGAAATCAAATAAATTGTCCAAAACGGTTCTCCACCAATATTGATACACAATAATATGGATGTATGTGTATATCTTGAGCTGAAAAAAAGCTCGGAATTTACAATGCATCTCTTTTGTATAATATCGAGTGAAAAGGATATGGATATGATCTGCTACAATTCAAATTCTACTGTGATTTCCTCACAGTGTGCACAAAGGTTATACAGAAGAGATACAATGACGATACAATTAATATGATTGAGTTTGGGGATGGAGAAGCCTGGCAGGATACAGAATCTGATAAAAATACAATAATAAATGACCCTCAACATATAGATGAAGGTCAAATTTATAAAGACAAGGCTACGGTAGTCAAAGTCATGAAGCACTTGGCAGTAAAGAAAAAATTCAAGTTTAAGGTGTATAGATCAAGTGAAAGCGGGTATCAAAATTTTTACTGTATAATTATGTATCTCAATGTATATCGTAGTTGATGTTATAAGCATAATTATGCAAAAAATAAGTTGATATTTGTAAGTCTGTGGCGGTACACTTTTAAGTTGTGGTTGTTACGTACTTATATTTGTAATTTAAAACAAAGTAACAGGCTTGGATTTATTGGAAGGATAGGCTTTATACTTAACAAATATGATCTATATTTAATAATCTCTTTCCCACATTTCTTGAAAACGAAAACCGAATGAAATTAGTAATTGTGAAAAATTTACTAAAAGGTCATCTAGTAAATTGTGCTTCCCAATTACTCCAATAAAGAATAAAGAGTTGATGAGATTTTAGATCCACTATTTTGGAAGAACCATGTTAGACATGAGATGAACCACATCATAGCATTTTATGAAAGTTCATAAAATCAATGCCGCGATCACGCCCAAACAGGTATATCCCACGCCGACCACGACCGCAGGCCAAGATCCGGGATCGCGAAGAAGCTAAGTCTGGGGTTCCATCATCGCGTTTGGCATGGTAATCAAATAAAACGAAGTCAAAGAAATTATTCATGACAAATGAGAACAAGCCCAAGAGAAAAAAAAATAGTCTCAAATTTTTAGCAAGGTTGAATGTAAACACAGGACAAACAAAGTTTCTTTGTGCTGTATAAAACTAAAATCCATCTAGTCAGAAAATAATTGCAGAGAAACTCAATTGACTATCAAAGAGAAGCGGTTAAAAACTGAAAATTATAGCAAATCGAACGGAACTCAGGCAATCTCTAACGCTGCTGCATTTTGCCATAATGCAGTTAGTTTTTGGAGAAAATTGGCTCCAATGCTCCTCCATTTTTGGTCCCAAAATGGGTGATGAATAGCGCCACTCTAAATTTGGAGTGACACTATTCATCTCCTCCATTACTATTCCCTATTACTTTATTATTAATTTTATTATTTAACTCTTTTAATTTATATCTTTATATATACCTAATTATATTTATGTAATATCTTTATAATATTAATTTTAAATCTTAACTTTGGCGTATAATTTTGATAAATTAATTTTGGTGCATTTATTATTTTTATGTAAAATTGTAAGTTAATTTTATTATAAGTTATAATTGTATAAAAAATATATAATCATCTCAAAAAATGAATGATGCAAATATAAAATATTAGATGTTGCTAAAATTGAAAAATGCGAATATAAAATATTAGATGTTGCTAAAATTGAAAAATGCGAATATAAAATATTAGATGTTTCTAAAATTGAAAAGTAAAAATTGAAAATACATTAAATGAAATACATTAAAATTGGAAATATATTAAATTAAAATACATAAAAATAACTTAGTAGGGACCTATGTCGTTTCCAGATACACCAAAATCATTACAGTATTGAGTGAATGGGGCCGAGGATTGTTGTGGTTGTGACTGTAGAAATTGTTGACTTCTTTTATACATTATTCGTTGTTGTTCTTGTCGCAAAAATTCACCACGAGTCGGATCGACAATAGATCCACATCGATCATTAAAATTTTATTTTCTTCTTTCAATTCTTTAAGTCTTAGTTTTTTCTTTTTGAACAGTCAAAACATCTTTTTTTGTCTCAGTTGCATTATTCATCGCCTCAACAATCCAATTATTTTCTGATTAGACTATCTTATATAATAAAGGAATATAAATTATATGTGATGAATATGTAAAAAAAAAAAAAAAAAAAAAAAAAAAAAAAAAAAACAGATAGAATTTCTTTAATAGAAATAAGAAAATAAATTTTAAATAAAAGATAATAATATAATATTGAAGAGAGAGAAGAATATAAAATGAAATATTCTTTTTTGGAATAAAAAATAGAGTAACGGTTGGAGTAACTTTACTCCATTTTGGATTTTAAGGACCCGTTTGGCCATAGATTTTGTCAAAATAAATTTGGATTTTAAGGACCCGTTTGGCCATAGATTTTGTCAAAATAAATTTGGATTTTATTTGGCAAACACATGTTTGGCCATAGATTTTGCCTATATTTTGGGAAAATTCCAAATCCCAAAACCAGCTGGGCCAAAATATCACTATTATATTTTTTTAAAATTACCCCAAACTTTTGTATTTTATAAAAGAGCCCACCATCTATTATTTTGTAACAATGTTGCTTCGTCTTCTCGGTCACCTGACAGCGTATCATGTAGTTCATTATAAAAATGATAATTTTGTATCAAATTTATTTATGTTCAGGACTATGGTTTGCGATAATATAATGAATGTTATTAATAATGGTACTGTTAGGTATTTGTGATAGTTTTTAAAACTTGTGGGTATAAGTCATGTTTCATGTTTTTCCAAAATAAATTTGGGAAATATGTTTTGAAAACTAATGTCCAAACACATTTTCATCTTCAAACCAAACTTCACCCAAATCAAATTTTTCAGAACAAATTTGGGAATATATGGCCAAAGGCTAGCTAAATGAAGGCAAGGGCTGGAGATGGCCTCGGAGTGCAAAAATAACACCAATCAGTACAACTTGCTTCCTAAATTAAAATAAAGGGATCATAAAAATGCTTATACATATAAAAAAAAATCCTTTGCACCATCATTGCTACAATTCTCAATAATGAAGAATTATAAGGTAATGTAACTTAAACATTTTTATGTTCTAAATCCCTATTGGGTAAATTGATCTGCAAAAATAATATTTAGAGGGACATGTGAGGAGAAATCAAATAAAGCAATTGAGTATCAGCTCAAACGTATTCACTTCAATGTATTAAAATGATATCCATGCGTCTACATGAGGCAAAATTAAACAAGAATAGGATTATATCTCAATAACTTTCGAAGATGATTAGCAACACCAGGCGGCAAGGAAAAGAACGAACACCCTCACTACATTGTGAAACGCACAGCGAGAACTTCAGAAATTCATTCACTTCCCAAAAAAATAAAAAGGATTAGAAGAAGGTGAATCTAGTTTCTTTTTTTACTCTTTTCTATGTAATATTTCTTCACTACTGATCTCGCTCTTATTCTTCAATTCTCTTTTTCTTCACTGGTGAAAATGTGCTATCTGAGACGGCAACTCCGGAAGATGTTGGCTTCATCCGATCTCAGTTCTCGGGTTTCAAAGTAGACTTTGTCATATTTTTAAACTGAAGCTGTGATTGACTATTGGATTGTGACGGTGCAATTGATTTTCTTCAAACTTCAGCTGAGTTCACCTGTATGACCCTTCTTCTATACTTCAAGAGAGCTGATATACGACTTTTGAGCTACATGGAAATGAATACTCTTCTAGTTATTGGGACTATAAACTATGACACAGTCATCAGTATATTCTACAAGAATAATCTTAATCATTCTCTCCTATCTCAATATTAACATATACCTATACGTATTAATAAATAATAGATAAGACTTACAAGTTACAACAACAATAAAATTTAGCGAGTATATCTTAAGCTCATCACCGGGAGCAAAACCCTACTCTGTTGATCTCACTGAGGGCAGTAACATCAGTTGTCGGGAACACCAAATGTAAAAGAGGGACCGAAGAGGATGTGTTAATTGCCTTGATTTTGTCCAAAGCTCTTTTAACTTCGAATGGTGATGGCACATTGTACCATTGTACATACCAAGAAAGAAGAGTTGATGAAACCCTTCTCCCATAATCTTCAGTTGGCCATTTTCCAGATTTCATGTACGTAGAGAAGTCCTTTGGGAATTCAAGAGATGAATTAAGAATCTCATCTACCCGCTTCCGGACTGAACCAAGAAAATTTGATTGCACTATCCCTTCCTTTGAACTTGTTGATCTTTTACTTAGCAAACCATTACTGTAAGCCAGTGCTATCTGTACACCAAGAATGGAATACGGTAATCAATTAAAGATGGATACCAAGCACAGCAATTAAAGGTAATTGCAGAAATAAAACTACTTGAAACTAGTCATATGCAGCTTAGTAGGAAAGGCGTAGAGAATAATTATCTTCCCTATTGATCAGCTTCTGTCAAGCATACATACAGCTAGTAAATCAACACAGACAGCACATCGTTAAGAGCAACGAGCATTTCCAAATAGATTTGTGACCTAACCCTATTAAATGTTTGTTCCTTGGTATAAGGAGACTTTAACATAAGGCACATGATTGTTACTAAATATTAATTAGGTGACATTGATTGTCCAAGGTTTACCAAGGGTAAAATCTTTACTTGCCACCTAAGTTGCTCGGACTCGGGTGCGGGTGTCCGATGCGGGTGCGGATCTAGAGGTCAGATACTTCATGATCTAAATTTAAAGATTCGGGGGTACGGATACGGGTCCGGGGATTCGGCTAAAAATAATTCAATTATTTAAAAATAGAGTTATAAAAATATGTCTAAATTATGAGACATTATATGAAAAACTTACAAGGTATTCCGAGAAGAAAGAAAATATTGAACAAGAGTAGAATTTTAGAAGAAGATAAAAGGAAAAGGACTGACATAGAAATTTATATATACAAGGTATTCCATTTTCTTTCATATCACCCTAACTTTTGATTTGTTTTAAAAAATCATTGTATCTGTCCCAAATTTCTCCGTTGATTTTGGTCAAAGTACCCAAAATCGGTTGACCAGATCCGACACGGATCCCACACCCACGTCGTGTCGACACGGGTGCGGCACTGAAAGTGAAGAGTGCAAGCAACTTAGCTTGCCACAATAAAATCTTCTTATTGACTTATGTTAGATATCTAAAGAAGATTTATTTCATAAAGATGAAATAGTATTTAAAGAGTATTAGGTCTGTAACGGTGTTAGATATGTTAAGATACATTAATACTCATCGACCAAGGGTAGGATATAAACTTTCCAAATTAAAATCATCCGTCTTTTGGACTTTCTTATGTTAGATAAGTATTATTTCATAAAGAGGAAATAATATAGTTAAAGATATATTAGTGCCTTATGGTGTTAAAAATGTTAATAATACATTAAGGGGTCGTTTGGTGTGGTGTATGAGAATTTGAATAGGGTGTATTAGTAATGTTGGGTTTAGTAATGCTGGGATTATTTCTTATCTACTGTTTGGTTTGGTGTATAAAAAATAACATGCATTACATAGGGGTGTATACATGCACATCCATGCATTAAAAACCATGGTATTACTAATGTCATGGTTTACTATGTATTAGTTATACATAAGATAATACCAAATAGGGTGTATAACTAATATTGTATTGGTTATACCAAAGCTAATACATGTATTATTTTCTCCTAATACATCCTACCAAATGATCCCTAACGGTCATCATATTTTGGTACCAAAACTAAGACCACAAACACTGCAACTCTCAAAAACATGACTTCATGCATGTAATCAAGCAATTTATATTAATAATAATCTGTGCAGAAGCATACAATTCAACACGTAGCTCCTGCACAGAAATCTCAATGCCATCTGCCCTCAATAATTCATTATACTTTCATAGTTTCATGTACTTAGCTAATGGAAAAGAGTTGGCTCATGCATTAAGTTGATGATAGATAAATAAACCTTTCTAATACCAATCAGATTAACTTTTAAGTAAACCATAGCTAGCTCCCCTCCACTTCAGCAATATCACGTACACTAACCTCTAGTTTAAAAGTTACACCAACCACCTATTTGATTTGTGTTTTGGAGACTTCCCATCACTTGTTTCAAAGAGCATTTGGTTTGGTTTACACTCCACGGTAGCCAGGTATACAAAAGAAACATGCACCAAAGCACTAAACAGAGAGTCCAAATATATTTTGAGTCTAAAACTAGATCACATTCAAGTAAGAAAAGGAAACCCTTCACTTCTTCCAAAGAGAATTTAGAATGATCTAAATGCAAAATAACACAAAGATAGCATGCCCAAGCACTAAGCAGGTAGTTAAAATGGAAATTTGAGTCTGAAACAAGATCACTTTTAAGAAAATTCATAGGTTGAACCAGCTAATCAGGTACAAAGCAAACAACAGATACCTTCAAACTTGAGATGAACAGTGCGTCCTGTAAATTGCTGGATCTACTAGTAATCTGATCGACCATGGAACCAATAGTTGTGTATAATGACAGATAAACCTGCAGCGTTTCCAAATGTTAAAAAAACTACCTCCTAATATTAACACAAGCTTTTGAACAAGGAAAACAAGTAACAAAATCTTCATGAGAATCTACTTCAAACATTGAGTAGATAACATTTTTTCTGAAAAGGCTAGCAGAAGTTCAGTTCAAATGTAAGCTTTTTCTGTGGTAACTACACAACTGCATGGCTCAAAGACATAGCATGTACTGTCCACCATTTAAGAATTCACTGTTAAGTATCAAGGTGAAAGAAACATTTGCAAGATGAAGCATCACCTGTAATAGTGCTGCCCTGTCCTTGCTTACACACTCAAATAACACTTGTAAGCAAAATTCCTGGAAGTCAATGTCAGATCTGCGAACATGCAATACAGGCTTTACTATCAACTCATGATTCCAATCAGAAGACAAGATTATCAGCAGGACTTCAGACAATCTTGCTACATTCACATCTTGGAGGCTAATCGTTCATTATCTGTGCAATCAAGTTTGATAGGACTTCACAAAATCCTGCTGCATTCACATAATCAAGGCTATTCTTTCATGCAATCTTTGTTATATTATTTAGTTGGTTCCTTGTAAATGAATTACTTGGTAGAAAAATTTTATGTAAATAGTCCCTTCTTAATTGGAGCAGATATAGCTTATTTAATCAGCTTGATGAGTCCGTTCATGCATGATTCTCGGGATTCTCGTATGCAAGTTCTTCACATTTTGGAGTATCTGATGTCTGCTCAATGCAAAGGTCTCCTTTTCTCCAAATATGGTCACCTCCAGGTAGAAGCCCATTCAGATGCGGATTGGGCTGGATTTCTAGATGACAGAAGATCTACATCCAGTTAATGTACGCTCATAGGACGGAACTTAGCTACTTGGAGAAGCAAGAAGCAAAGTATTGTTCTTGATCAAGTGCAGAGGCAGAATATAGATTTATGGCCCAGGGTGTTTGTGAACTTTTGTGGCTACAAAAGCTACTTGAGGAATTGAGATTGTCTAAAAAAGGGAAACTTTTCTTGTATTGTGATAATAAGGCCGCAATTAGTATAGCTCAAAATCTTGTTCAACATGACAAATGAAACATGTTGATATTGATCGACAACACTTCATCAAAGAAATGATTATAAGTGGTATCTTGACTTTGTTTCATGTGTCATCAGAGAAACAGCTAGCTGATGCGTTTACAAAAGGACTCAATAAAAGATCCTTTCACACACTGGTTTGCAAGTTGGACATGTGTGACATCTTTGCACCAATTTGAGGGGTTTTTATTCTTAGAATCAGGGTACTAGTTTTTGAATAAGTCTAATTTGAATAAGTCTATGGTATTTGAAGAAGTCAAGTATGTGGTTTGAATAAGTCCTAAGAGAAACCTTGTATATATGCCCCCCCCCCCCCCCCCCCCACACACACACACTTCTCAGGGATGTAAAGTATTATCAAGAAATACAAAAGAAGCCTTTTCTTCTTCTTGAAATCTTCAGCAACGAAGCTTAAGGAAATAAAAAACACAACAATGACTAAACATTGAGTCAGGAAATCAGTAATAGCTAGAGTATGGACTCNACTTGAGAATGAGCAATTAATAGACGGGCACTTGCCTGCTATTCCAGTTAGGGTCACAGCAGAGTTGGGCAAACGAAATTAAGCTTGGGTTAGACGAGAAAGTACTGATCAACTGATCTACCATGTCGCCATCTCGACAATCTCTACTGGTGGCAGAAGCTCTTAAACGTGTCAAACCAAACACCTGTGTTAAAAGCAAACAAAATTTGATGTAACACGTAAACTAGACAAAGAAGAGTTAAATTGATATAAATGAGAACTAACCTTGTGCATTGCTCGTGACAGCAGTGACTGACACCCCGCAGGATCATCCACATAGGAACATGCTCCGACTTTTCTCTTGACATAGAGGACACCAGAACTAAGCGCATCATTCTTGTCCCCTGAGCTCCATGGTTTTTCTGTAAAAGAGTTGCAGATAATATTGAACAAAATAAGTAAATAACCTCAATGTCCAACTACAAGAAGCTAAAAGCAACGTCAAATTTACCCTCAGGAATGTGGTTGATGACTTGAGGCCAGTATCGAGGACCGCAGACACGAACAGCCTTTAACTATAATGCAAAAAGGAAAAAACTTGGTTTGGACCTAAAGTTTCACGTATATGGTAATCTTAAAATTACAGCATAACTTTGCTTGTAGAGAAGATCAGAACTTACAACAGCACGTTCTGGAAGAATACATGGGGTGACCTCATAAAAACTTGTTTCTGCATAGTGTTCTGTCTCTCGAACAGTAACTTCTAAAGGACAATAGACAGGTAAACCAGTGTCCACATCAACTGTCTGAACCCAACGAGCTTCTGTCGCAAGAACATACAAATGCCGAAAAGCCTGTACTGATGCAAACTTGAATTATAAAGTACCCAAAAAAAAAATCACAGGCAAAGGAACGGAAAGAAGCATAAACAATGACAGTATATAATGTTTACTTAGATAATTAACCAAAATATAAGGCATCAATTGAGATCGAAGAAGAAAGAGCAATACAGTTGCAAAGAGATACTCCACACAGGGGGGAAAAGGAAATAGTCAATAACCTGTCAATTTGAAACAGGGAAACCAATATGTTGAATAATTTCAACTTCTGCATGACTAGTATCAATGAAATCCACAAATGAGAGTTTTGAGATAATTCAGCTTCAAATAAGAGTCAATACATCATATCATGTTGTTGATTAGCATGATTCAAGGAGACTTGATTTAGGAGTATTGATTAGCATGATTTCAGGAGATTTGATTATATTTAGGAGATCTGATTCTGATTTGATTTGATTTGATTTGATAGCTATATTGATTGTGTAGATCTATTTTATTTCCTTAATTAGCATTAGGAGTTTTTTATAAATTCCCTTGCTCGTAGGAGGTAAACACACACAGAAATATAAAAAGCCTTTTCTTCTTCTCAAAATCTACATGGTATCAGAGCCATTGTTGCCTTTTTGAGGTGAGTTATCTCCCTCGCAGTACTAGAGTTCCGTTTTTATCAAAGAGGTCGAGTTTTTTCTCTCTTGGTGGCTGTCTGCAACACAAACTCCTTCTGATTTTCTTCTGATTGGGCAGAATTATGGAGACATTCAAGGAGACGGTTTCTGGAGAAATCTTGTCTTCGGATGAAATTCAGCTTCTTCATCGTCTCCTAGCCAAACTTGACTCTGCTATTGTTGCTACATCCAATCATGTGCAATCAGGTACTGCCTTTGCTGCTCACCGTAATTCTTGGATTGTCGATTCTGGTGCAAATAGACACATGGCAAGCTCTTCTAAAGGCATTCAAAACTATTCTCTGTGTCCCAAAGAAGATAATGCTAAAATAGCCAATGGTTCTTTAACCCCTATCTCTGGAATAGGTTTTGTTATTTGTACTCCTAATATTAAACTATCATCCATGCTCTATGTCCCTAAGTTTCTTGTCAATCTTTTATCTGTTAGTGCCATCACCGGATTGTAAAATCGAGTTCATTCCCGATCATTGTATTTTTCAGGATCTTCAAACAGGGAAAAGGATTGGCAGTGGTAGATTGCGTGATGACTTGTATATATTAGATGGAATTCAAAACTCTAGTCAAGCCTTTTTTTGGGGGAAAGTAAGGATGTTAACCAAGAAATAATACAGCGGCATAGACGGTTAGGACACCGTCATTCTTTGTTTTGAAGAAGTTATATCCCGATTTGTTTTCAAGGACTCGATTTGAATCTTTGTTCTGTGATGCGTGTGGATATGCCAAGCATACTAGAAACTCTTATCCTGTGAGTGATAATTTAAGTTGCTCGGACAAGGGTGCGGATCTAGAAGTCGGATCCTTCGAGATGTAAATTCTAAGATTCCGGGATACGGATCCTAGTACGGACACGGGTGCGGGAATCTGGCTAAAAATAATTCAAAAATATAAAAATATAAAATTATTTCTAAATTATGAGAAATTATAAAATGGGAATTTCTTTTTTATTCTCAAGTTGTAGATAAGTAAATGATTGATTTCCTGGATAAGGTACGCTATTTTCTTCAAATTTACCCTAGTTTAAATTCTGATTTCGGGAATCAAATAGTATCTCGTATCGAATTTATCCGTCTGTCGTGGTCAAAGTACCCAGAATTGTTTGACCATATCCGGTACAGATCCCATACCCACATCCATACTAGTGTCGTGTCGACATGGGTGCAGCACCTAAACTGGCGTGCCAGAGCAACTTAGGTGATAATAGAAGCACAACTCTGTTTATGACTATTCATTCTGATAGTTGGTGCTTCATGTGCAAAAGCTCGGGCGAAGATGTAGATCATCTCCTATTGCATTGTCAAGTGGCTAATCGGTTGTGGGGAGTGATCCTTAATTTGTTTGGGGTGCAATGGGCGATGCCGGGTACAATGAAGGAGGCGTTGCATAGTTGGGTTCACATGAGTGGAAAGAGAAGTCCAAGGGCATGGAGTGTCGCTCCCTTAGCAATCATGTGGGTGATATGGAAAGAGAGAAATAGGAGGGCTTTTGAAAGGATGGTTTTGTGAAATTGCAAAGTAGTTTCTTGTTCCTAGTTTCTTTTTGGTGTACTCATGAGGTCCCTATTTGTATAGAGGATTGAATCTCTTTTGTTGAGAACTATATTTTGGTGTAGGTTCTCTTTTTTTTATATATATACGGCTTGTATACGGGGTTAGTCCCCAATTGTGAATAAAATTATTTATCTTATCAAAAAAATGACTATTCATTCTAATGCATGGGGTCCTACCCAAACTGTTTTTTTGTCTGGTAGTCAATGGTTTGTTACTTTCATTGATTGATGCACTAGGATGACTTGGGTATATTTGTTAAAAGCCAAAAGTGAAGTTTTCTCTTGTTTTCATTCATTTCATTAGATGATTTGTACTCAGTTTGATGCCAAAATAAAAATCTTGAGAACTGACAATGGTAGCGAATACATGGATAAAAGATTTGATGCTTATATGGAGTCCAATGGGATAATCCATCAGATTTGTTGTCCTTACATTAGTGCACAAAATGGGGTCGTTGAAAGAAAAAATAGGCATTTGTTAGAAGTAGCAAGATCTCTTATGTTAACCATGCATCCACCCAAACCTTACTGGGGGGATGCTATTCTAGCGGCTTCCTATCTTATCAACAGAATGCACTTAAACCCCTCAATTTTCAAAGTCCTCTGGAAACTTTAAAGGGTAAGAATGAATATATCGTTCCTCCAAAGGTGTTTGAGTGTGTTTGCTTTGTCCACACTAGAAATTCTGGAAAACTTGATCCTAGAGCTATAAAGTGTGTTTTCATTGGGTATTCTCCGATACAAAAAGGTTACAAATGTTATCATCCTCCCTCTAGGATCTTTTGTTAGCATGGATGTTACCTTTCGAGAATCTGAACCTTATTTTAGTATTACCTCATCACCTCTTCAGGGGAAGAGCAGTAAGGAGGAACAGGTGATTCCACCTAGTTCTATTACTGAACCTCTTGATGACACTATCACGGGGGTAAGTGAAATTGGAGAAAGAATCCAGAGGGAACTATTGGGCGTTTGGATAGACCTGATTTAAAAATTTACTCAAGGAGAAATAGAGCAGAAGAAGCCATCATGCAATTTACCGAAACTGAATCTTCTTCTACTTGTGAGTTATCTACATTTCCTGATAAGTTAGATGTGCCTATTGCTCAAAGAAAAGGAGTCAAACCTTGCACCACCAAACACCTTTTATGTAACTTTGTCTTCTATAAATCTTTGTCTCCCTCCTAGAGTCTTTGCCTTGTCTATTTCTTCAGTGTCTATTCCTTAGAATTGGAGGGTAGCTTTTGCAGATCCTAAATGGAAGCAAGCTATGATTGAAGAAATGAAGGCCTTGTCAAAAAATGAGACTTGGAAACTTGTCACTTCACCACCACACAAGAAGTTGGTTGGCTGCAAATGAGTCTTCAGTGTGGAGCACAAAGCTGATGGCTCAATTGAAAGATTCAAAGCAAGATTGGTGGTTAAGGGATTCGCTCAGACATATGGAGTGGATTATTCACAAGAGACATTTGCTCATGTTGCTAAGATGAATACTATTAGAATTCTTTTATCTTGTGCAGCTAATCTTGATTGGGACTTGCACCAGTTTGATGTGAAGAATGCATTTCTTCACGGAGACTTAGAAGAAGAGGTGTCTATGGAGATTCCTCCTAGATTTGATACTGCACAGTGTCAAGAAAAGGTATGCAAATTGAAGAAAGCCTTATACGGACTGAAGCAATCCCCCAGAGCCTGGTTTGACAGATTCAGCAAAGCAATAATCTCCTTCGATTACCAACAAAGCAATGTTGATCACACCCTCTTCATAAGACATCAAACGGGTAAACTCACTCTTCTCATAGTTTATGTTGATGACATAGTAATGACAGGAGATGACAAAGAGGAGATGGCCCGATTGAAGAAGTTGTTGGCACATGAATTTGAGATCAAGGATCTAGGAAAATTGCAATACTTCTTGGGAATTGAGGTTGCTAGATCCAAAAGAGGAATCTTTATTTCTCAAAGGAAGTATATTCTGGATCTCTTGAAAGAAACCGGTATGACAGGTTGCAGCCCTGCAAAATCGCCCATTGAAAGCAATCACAAGTTACAAAGCGGAGTTGGAGAATCAGTTGATAAGGAGAGATATTAAAGGTTGGTTGGAAGACCCATTTATCTCTCCCATACTAGACCAGACATAGCCTATTCACTTAGCCTGGTGAGTCAGTTCATACATGATCCCCGAGATCCTCATATGCAAGTTGTCTTTCACATTTTGCGGTATCTGAAGTCTGCTCCAGGAAAAGGTCTACTTTTCTCCAAACATGATCACCTCCAAATAGAAGCCTTTACAGATGCGGATTGGGCTGGATCCCCAGATGACAGAAGATCAACATCTGGTTACTGTACGCTCGTAGGAGGAAACTTGGTTACTTGGAGAAGCAAGAAGGAAAGTGTAGTTGCTAGATCAAGTGCGGAGGCAGAACATAGAGCTATGGCCCAGGGTGTTTGCGAACCGTTTTGGCTACAAAAGCTACTACGGGAATTGAGACTGTCTGAAAAAGAAAAACTTTCCTTGTACTGACAATAAGGCTGCCATCAGTACAGCTCATAATCCAATCCAGATCGAACAAAGCATGTGAAAATTGATCGACACTTCGTCAAAGAAAAAGTTACAACTGGTGTCTTGAGTTTGTTTCATATGCCATCGGAAAAACAGCTAGCTAATGTGTTTACCAAAGGTCTCAACAAGTGAACTTTCTATACTTTGAGTTGCAAGTTGGGCATGTGCGACATCTTTGCACCAACTTGAGGGGGAGTGTTGATTAGCATGATTCAAGGAGACTTGATTTAGGAGTATTGATTAGCATGATTTAATGAAATTTGATTATATTTAGGAGATCTGATGTTATTCTGATTTTATTTGATTTGATTTGATAGCTATATTGATTGTATAAATTTATTTTATTTCCTTAATCAGCATTAGGAGTTTTGTATAAATTCCCTTGCTCATGGGATGTATACACACAAAAATACAAGAAGCCTTTTCTTCTTCTCAAAATCTACACATGCAACACTAACTTTCAGCTCAATACTATGTGCAAGTATTGCCAACGTTCCGTGGGACTTTTAATATCTAAACTCACCACCTGTAAACAGATCTTAACTCACATGTATTAGTGGATAGCTACATATACCTTCTCCTTTGCATCACATTACAGCTGAATATGTCAGAGAACTCCTTCAACAGCAGGTGCATTCATATGCACTCTTCAGAACAAAGTTCACATATCCTAATAAGTCGGTTGTCCCACTAAAACACGTCAAGGTGTTTTATCAGGCAATTACCAAATGCAGGTAATACCAGTTTGATTTTTTTACCTCATTAAAATAGCTCTTGCAGCGACCATGGTCGTCTCTCTCATTTCAACTGCCCATTCTCTATAAAAAAATTACAACTTTCTTAATAGGTAGTCCTACAATTGGTGGATCTACAGAATCCAATGAGAAAAGTTGTCTACTTCCAGTGTTACGAGGCCTCCAGTGTTCCCTGTATCTACTCGACTATCGGCAAACAAAAGGTCTCAGACGCACTCGATTACAGTGTTTAACTTCAAAATCTTTAAGTTCTTTTCACAGGTCTTAATAGGAAATACCCCATTTACGCTTTTCTTTTATCTTTTTAAATTAAAAGACACCTATTGTGAACACCACATTGAATGGAACTTGTCTCAATTTTTCTGGTTAGCGAAAGCAAAATTTGGATGGACAAAGCACAGGCAATAGCAAGAGATTCCATTTTGGAGTGTTGGTACACCAAGCCTGATTTATAAGTTCCTAAAATCTACTAAGTCACTTCTGCATTCATTTACCTGAAGGTGGCACCGATTGTCATTAGGTCCAGTCGGCAATCGTGGATATAGTGTTATTAGCAAAGCAGCAATAGAACTTTTGCTAGTCGAAAAAGTCTGCATTCCACCCCCAAGAAACAAGAAACCAGTGGCTAAGCTTACCTGAAACATTTTTCAGATCAATGCATGAGAAAGATGGTCATAAAAGAAACTGCAATTTGAATCCACAATAATTTCTGCATCTTAATGCAAATAATTTGAATGAGTATAGACAGAAGAATTAATTTCACAAACGAGTAACGTCATACTATCAGATGCTTTGAATCTAAAATGAACATGTCCAAGCAATTATTTATTGGTTGTTGAAAGAAAATAGTTTATGGTGATCCTTTTCTTTTCAGGGTGATGAGTAATCCACAGTATTTGTTGGTTGATCATAGACATTCCTCTGATCTCTCGTGGAAATTGGGTAGCAACCAGTGCAAGAAACAGGTGATTCAAGAACTCGTTGTAAAATGACAATACACTTACAGCCATCTGATTACCGAAGCTCAAGTGCCCATCTGCAGAATTTCGACCACGCAAATATTTCAACAATTTGAATGTTTGTAGGTGTCCAGACCCTGCCATAACCTGCACAAGTAGGATTTCTGAATGAAGCCTACCCCTACAATTAACCAATTTGCACTTGTGCAACTATATACCAACCACACAAAGAGAGAGAACAATTAGGTGAAGACATGTCTCCAATGAGCCACGATCAATATATCTAGACAGTCCTTTTGGCAATCCACGTCCAGTTGTGACAGATACAGGTTTAATCTGCAATTAGAAGCAAACTTGTCACAGCATAATAAATATGAATCAGCACATTAAGGTGAAGGACAGACCTCGTTAAGGAAGTATAGAGCATATTTGTAGAGCAGTTCTTGTAAGTTGCCATCTCTAGTACCAGCATATCTTAACCCTGCCAGAATTATAGCTTGCAAATCAGGGATAACCGAAAGTACAACATTGGGCAGATGTAATGATGAATCAAATGCGATTCACCTCAGGCCTAGAAGTAGGTTAGTGTAGTAAGCATAAAATACACTCTAAAAGACGAATAAGAATCTAAGACTTCGTCCGGAATCTGATCCATTTCATATGGTATGAATTAAGCATATTTTGATATCGAGACTGCCAACAGAAATTCACCATAAATGAAGAGCTGGTGTCAAACTTGAAACAACAATTGGTTAGTTCTCTGCCAGCATTCAGCATGTCCAAGAAAATCTAGCACCCAAGAAACCTCATACTTCGTATCATATACCCGTCTCAATCTGTTAAATGACTTGTAGATTACTGATGAACCTTTCTGAGCTTAGTGCCAAGGCAACTAAACAGGAAGCCAGAGACAGAAGTAAACACTTTGAGTTGTTCAATAGTCTCCTACGCAGTTCACTAAATGAACGAAGCCCACATTTTGCATTAGCTGTCCATCCCTCTCAATTGATGTGCCTTTGAAACACAATCGCATTGCAAAAGAGCTTCTGCCCATATCAACTAACTTCTGAAAGATCCACGCTACTACAAAAACATATACTCCCACTTTCCAGAATATTCATGTCTCCACCTGCTCTAATTCAGTGTCTAAGTAGGTGTTTGGACAATATTTGGTCGAACAACAATAGTTATGCCTCGGTCCCAAAAACATTTGGGATCAGCTATATGAATCCTCACTTCTCCATTTAAGCTCAAATCACGTTATCATACCAAATAAAAATAAAAATGAGAATATATATATATATATATATAATATAGTAATAATAATATTTTTCTGATAAAAAAGTAGTAGTAATTAATAATAATAATAATAATAATCATATTATTAGAGGTTCTTTAACAAGACTAAATCATATTCCCCAGTAGATATCGCCAAATGAATCTTTTTCTTTCATTGTGTCTGATCTTTAGCTAAGTTTGCATTGATCCCCAAAAATTTGTAGGTCTTTCGAGACAACTTCTTTCCATATCATTTTAGGTCTACCTCGTCCCCTTTTAATACCTTCATACATCATAATTATTTCTCCTTTTCCCATGTTCCTGGTCCCATTGCTTTTGAACTTCATACCAAAAACCAAGCTTTTTTAATTCTTGCATGCCCTTCTCTTTGTGGGAATAGCAGCAACTGATGATTCTGCTATTTCTAATCTCTTCGCATGCCTACTACTGTCAATTTTCATAAACAAAGCCATTGCCTCCTTTTCACATCCCTGGAAATCCACCCCAAATTGTTTGCTGAGTTTGATTACATTTTGGTGTACCCATAAGGATGCGTCCAGTTAACCCTCTATCTCCCTCTCTATCGGCTATATTTGTAACGGTTCAGCTTTCTCTATAGGCCCAATATGTGTTCCTGTTGTTTCAAGCATGTCTCTTGTGACCCCTGAATTCTCCAATTGTACCCCTTCCCTTTCGATGTTAGTCATGGCATCTTCATAATCATCAGCTTCCTCATGTATTATCATCTCTTTTGAATCCTGAAATTTTGGTTTTTAGTCTTGTATGTGGTTTTTCATAACACTCTCGCTTTTTCATCTTCGTTCTGGGACTTCAGCATATTGAACCCAATTTCATAAGCTATTGGGTTAAATTTGTTCTCCATATTTAAGTAGACTTTGTCTTGTTTAAAGACTTGTGTTACAACCCGCACTTTGGGGTTGTAATTTCGGCCAAGAACTGGTGAGAAAAGGTCCTTCTGATGGTCTAACGTAGAGCAGTCTACTCGGGCAACTTGGGCTTTTTAATTTTAAGCATATATAAGGGGGGTATAGGTGATGAAAGCTCCGACCTGCCTCCCCCACACGCGCTGCCACCGAGCCGTATAGAACGAGCTGCCTTGGGGGCGAACCCCAAGGGCCTGCCTAGATGACTCAAGGGAGTGTCAAAGGTATCCATACGAGTTTGGGAACTCGTATGGGATGCGCAACGCCTTAGGGCCTGCGTTGGGCATCAAAAGGGCAGTGGAGGCTGCTATTGTGGAACGGCCAGCCCCGCGGGCTGCCGAGTGTTGGAAAGAGACCTCCACGCCGATTGGATACTTGACGCACCTGTCATAGGGGCATCATGTGTCGACTTGTGAGCATGGCTTTGGTTCAGCCATGCAAGCAAGGGTCCGTTGGCCTAAAGGTGCAGGTGTGGGCGACACTGCACTACTTCGGAATGGAAGCGTGCTGCAAGAGGGCTATGTATGGGCATGGCACGAAAGAGGCGCATGACAATGGCCAAGGGCTAAAGGTTGCCTTACTCGGGCGAGGCACGAGCTAGTCGCGGATGCACTAGGCGAGTGTCAAGCTTGAGGATTGGGATGTGCACGCGGGAGCGATGCTCAGTCTTAGGCTAAGGACAAGGCATGTCCTAAGCCAAGTCCCCAGGGCGCGCATGGATTGTGATCCTAAGATGAAGAGCCACGACATGTCTAGGGCCAAGGGCCTAGGCATCTTACGGGCGGCACAAGTTGGGGCGAGCCTACGGGCGAGTCCCTCCGACAGGCACAGGATCGTGCTTGAGAAATCATGGGACAGGAAAAAGGCTGGCCTGCAGCGAGGGGAACTGCAGGCGCCGCACGGGCGAGCAGGTGCCGCTACCTAATGTAAGGATTCGGGCCCGTGACACTTGGGCCTCATTAAATAAGTTTGGGCCAGAGGAGGAGCTGGCCTTATTGTTAGTTTTGCTTGTATTATCCGGCCCAATCTCCACTCCTTCAATGAATTTAGTCTACAGCTGCTTGTCACATGTCTGCTCCCCTTCAACCAATACAATTTTATCTTTCCACTTGCATTTATTAGAGACCACGTGTGCCCCCTTTTTTTGTAGTATAGCTATCAGGTCTATGCACCTCCCCGTAGCTCTCGTTTACCCAGCGGTTCTCCATACGTTTCTGTTCATCTTCTCCGGTGAGTAGGATGGTTGGCGTTTGCAACAAATAGGAACAAATGAAGGTTAAACCTATGTCTTCAATCTCCACCTCTTTCGGAACTTTTCCCCCATCTCCTTTAGTCTTTACTCTTGCCCATTTTAGATGATTTCTCAGAGAAGTTTCCTCCTCTCCTCTGTTTCCACCCATCCTCCACATTGATCTACAATGGCTTTGAAGATTTTCTCTGTCCATAGATGCATGGGTAAGCCCATGGCTCTGATCCAGGTCCATCCCTTTCGATGACTGTCAGAGCAGCATCCGGCTACCGAGGACCCCATTTCATAGGGAGTTTTGTTCGCTTCCACCACCACTCTCCTTACAGTACATGTTACCCCCATATATTTTGTTGGGAATTCAAAAAGAAAGAGGTTGTCCCCCATTTCGTATATGTTCACTCCAAAGGTGCTTTTTCAAGAGCTCACTGACTATCTTCGGATGTCATACAAAGTCGGTTTTTCCTTCACTTCTTTATCAATATGACCTAGCAGACATCTTCCGAGAAACCCACTTTCAGCATCTGCTTCTCCTCCATCTATGATAATTTTGTTGCTTCTTGTGTTGATCATGGCTTCATTGAAACCCTAATTTGCCATTTCCTAGCTCTGACAGAAGCTGCGTATATGTTTGTAATAAATGGCCCTGTATCTTCTTTAATGAATTTATCAATCTTAAATGCAATATCCCTCCATCCAGCATTGAATGTAATTTCTGGAATAATAATGACAGATATATTAACTCCTTGTATTGTTGCAATGCTTATGAATCTGCCAAAATTATTGTTTTTCCTTGCACAAAAAAAAAAAAAGTGATTGTTGCTCATTTAGCTTCCATCTTCTCGTCAGTCTCTCAGTGTCTCTTGAAGCTTCTTGTAATACAAAGCATATCCAACTGCAAAATTAATTTTGTTCTCCCCATTAAATTTGTAACAAGAAAGATACTGAAAAAGCACTAAGAAACTACCGAAAAAGAGTTCTTTTCCTTCCTCGATTTATGTGCCTTAGGAGCATTTTCTCTCTCTTAGTTCCTTGTGTTAAAACCTGCTACTTTCCGCACCACATTCTTCGTAGCACGGAAGCATTAAAATATCCACATGGGCATCTACTTCGTATTCAAATATGACGTCCTCTTCACCATTATCCATTGAATCATCATAGTATTCTAATTATTCACCATCATCATTAGCTTCAATTAGCTCTGCTCTCGTAATTTCCACATTATCAGCTTCAGTAATCATGTCCTCCTCTGATTGTTTGCTAATTGATTGACCTAAATTCACTTCCTCCATTTTCTCTGCTTATTTATCTCTATAATGTCAATTCTCCAAATTTTTAATTCTTTGTTCCCGACATTTTTGAAGATGGAATTTCTCAACAGCCTCTATCTCGATATTCATAACTATGATTATAATGAAGGGCATAACTTGGGTCAACCTAATTATAAGGACTGGGCCTATTATCTTTTTTTATTGTCCACACCGAGGTCCCTTGGCCTTTGAGCCTTTTTTATACACATTAACACCCGGCCCAAACCTCTCCACTTCATTACCCATAACCTGAGGCCTTTTAAAGTTCATTATAATATTCAACTTATTATTAATGCTATGCACACATTCCGCATGCGTCTCCAATTACGAAGTTCCACCTTCCTGGGGACTCTGCTCCACCGTCTCTCTTTCTCCGATGAACTGTTGCGTCACTTAATCCCGATTTTCGGTGAACCTCTTCAATTTTCCTGTCACTTTTCTCCACCCAAACTGTGGATTTCACCCACACCAAAACCGTGAAAGTAAGATCTTCCACTCTGAAAATTTCTAATTTGCCGGAAATTTATTTCGAGAGAATCGAACACAAATTCTTACCCATCTTATATGTGTTCTAAATCTAGTATCATCATCAACTTCCAGATACCCTCCAAGTTTAAACTCTCTGACCACAAGCAAATAGGGAATCCCACCAATCTGACCCACACATGATTAGGTCGGAATTTTTCACGATGACAATTCCAACCTCAATTCTAAATTCTTAAAGAACCAATTTCCCATCTTGATCTTTCCGCTTCAGAATCCTTAAGGAAACTCAAATAAGAAAAAAAAACTCCATTTAGCTCCTTCAAAGAGGCCAGCGCGAATTTGCCATTTTCTACAAACCCATTATGAGACTTCATATCTGCTGGGAGTCGCAACTGTATTGTCACCGAAATAGCCAATTAAACAACTATGCAGATATTCCACCCTTGACTTGATCGAGCTTTTGCCTATTATGAATTGATTTCCTTCCTCACCTTCTTTTTCTATTGCTTTCACATCATCTTTGGGCCATCCCTTAATCTGTGCAACTTGAGCAAACTTCCTTTTGCTTTGTATCTTATTGTTACTCTAATCATTGTTGATTCCCCCTTTTTCGATGAATCTAAGGATCTTTTCTGCATAATCATCCCAACCAAGATTTTCTCCTATTTCCGGGATGATATTAATAGATTTTTTCCTCCCCTTATAAGAAACCACTCTGACGTATCTTCCATATACGTTAAAGTTCAGGTATATAAAATATGAATATAGTTGACTACTAAACTCCCATTCTGCAGGTTTTACCATTCTCCTTCGATGCCAATTTGAGATACTTGCAAAGCTCCAGCAAACTAAATTATCAAAGGAAGTCATGTACATAAAATCCTTTCTTCTCGCAGTTAAATCAACCAGCCCCCTCCTACATCCAGTATTTCGAAGGACTTGTTACCAGCCAGAAAGAAAGAATTCCTCCTCATGTTATTTTGTTAGTTTCTAGGACAATCACCTTTCTCATCGCCGTATACTAGGCTTAAGTTACTCAGTGACCGTCTTCAAAGCTAACAAAACAGACAAAGTAATGGAAGGAATAGAACGTTGTTATGAAGGATGAACGATGGTAACAGGGATAAGAAAGAATAGGGCCACCTAAACAGACAGATTTGAATCTGAAAATAAACAGTAGAGAGAAATAAGAGAAGAGAAGAATCGAAAGAGAATTATAAAAATTAATCGGAAGAAAAGGATTGAATTCTTGCCTGAAAATCTAGTCGAAAGAATAGGGATGAAAGAGAATGTTTATTAGCGCACTTCCCAAGAGAGAAAATAAGATCCATTCCAATTGGAAGAAAGTATTACATAGCAACTTAACTAGAAAAAGTTCAACAGACAGGAGAAAGACATCTTTAAGAACTTGGGCTCACCAAGAGAAATGCAGGCTCCAACCATTATGTGAACATACGCCTGAACAAATGCATACAAATGCATCAGCATTTATTTCATCTGTGTCACTCATGCTATCACCAAGGTCTTTAACACCATTTTGAATAACTTCTGGAATTTGAGATTGAATCCATCCTTCAGATGCATGAACTCTAGAAAAATTAAACTATAGTTAAACCTGAGAAGCAACCTATAAATGTTTTGCTGATTGAAAAGTGTTGGGAGCATGTTTACCTGCTCCACATTATCAAATTCCGGGCAATGACACGGAGCATTATGAAATCAGGTCGAACATAGTGTAAATCAAAATGTGTCTGCGGGACAGACAACCTAGAATAGACCAACTCTGACTCCGTCTGCAGTTGATTGAGAGCAAAATTAATTACTAGAAGAAAGTTGTCTAGGAGGTTATCTTGAACGAGAAAATAATATAATGTATAAAATTACCTTCAAAAACATAAGAGCAAGGGCAATGGTGGCTCCAGGTGCAGTAACATCAACATTGACTGCAGCGCTGTCCATTATCTGCAAGAAAAAGGGTATAGTTTCAGAAGATAGATTTAGAGATCCTTACATTGGTACCTATCTTTAAGTCAGATAAGACTAGCAGCACTATCATATATGTGAAGAGACAGGATGACCTAACCTGTCCTGCACTCCGATTATGTTCATCAATAGATGGTGCGAAAAGATGGAACCTCTCCTGAAGAAGATCAGTTTGAAGAATTATATTCAAAAAAATGAGAACATCACTTTAGTCACAAATCAAAATTTTCGAATTATATTGCATAAAACAGGAAACAAATTCTGCAAGCATATACATTTTGAGGCTCCTTGCAGCCAATGTACTGGAACAACCGATCAACCAAAGCATCCACGAAACCAAGAGCATCTTCTCCACGACCTTCACTTAAACCAAAAACACTTAGAGACAGACATTAGCCATAATGATGCATGTGATCATTCAATCATACCCAACGCGACCAATCCCAGTGAAAACCCTGCTGCAACTGCATAACCCTCCCTTTCAAGTACATTATCTCCTCCACTTCTACGACCTATTTCACCCTGCAAACCAGTTACCAGTGGTTAAATTCATGAAAAACATGCATAAAACTTGGATTAACACTATATTACCATTTTGGTCAAATAAGAAGCCATCTCTTCTTGTACGCAAGCAAGATCATTATGAACTATCTATAATCACCTACTCCTTTTCACTTTAATGCCAGAACTGTAGAAACAAATAATTCTGCAATTCCCTAAAATAACTTCCAGAGGAACAAATTATTTTAAATGAATGCCACACAAGATGAATTGTCCTACTACTCCAGTTAGCTTTTAGTAGCCCTCTGCTCCTAACTAAGATTGAGAAACAGCAAAAGCAAAACTCGGTCATGCACCAGAAATAAGAACTCAAGTTTCCATATATTCGAATAAGGTGAACACTTATCTTGAGGCGAGACCAACTACCTAATAATACACAGTGACTGTTCAACACTTGACCAACAGATGATCCAAGAAAACTCCAGGAGTGTATAGACCTCCAAGATTTAGAGAAGAAAGTACCAGAAGAATTTGCATTGTTTGGGGATGTGCCGATCCCTCATATAGAAGCCCAACAGAAAGGAGAGCTGCTGCCTGAAAAGCAATACAAGTTACGAACAATCATTTTTCAAGTCAAAGATACTTCATTAAAAAGGCTGATTGTTTACCACAAAATAAATATTAAAAAAAATCACTTTAACGCAAGTGCACGGAGGAGAAAACACAGACGCTTTTTCAATAGGAGGAAACGCATACCTTTAACTCTTCTAAAAGTTAATAGGTGGAAAAAAAGAAATAAGAACAGAAACATATTGGAGTAAGGATATCATGGAAGCATGAAACATATATTCAGTTCTGATTTGCTAGCAAGTATATTAACATAGAATAAAAATCTACTAGGGGACAAAGAGGAAATTATTTTAGACGAAAATGATAAAATGAGGTAAGGATCAGTACAGCACTTCAGCTGAACACTGAAGCTTAATAGAACAGAAGCAAGAGTATGATGACCTAAACGAACTGCAAATAAAAGATAAAATCCATAGAGAAGACCAATCTCCAATGAGAATTCAACATTTTCACAGATTCACAATGCATGCAAAATTAGGAGGTAATTCTGCAACATAGCTACCTGCAAAAGGGTTGGCAATTCCAATTCCGGAAAGGAAGATGGATGACGTGATGGTATATGAACATAGAGAGACTGCATGGAGATCAAATAGATTCCTGATTCATTAGAAGGAAAAGGAGAAAAGCACATCCAATGACAAATCGATAAACTGCAAATAGATAGTAGATTACTAAATTAATAAAGCAGATAAGGCACCCAATAATAAGGGATGTTTGAATGCCAGTACTGATTGTTAAGTAGGAAATATCATTCAGTAACTGATAAGGGCAGATTTGGAGTGCTCTAACTGAAAAATGCGTTGAAATAAAAGAATCAAAGTTACATTTAGCTAGTTTAGCAACAAGAATACAGCAACTTCCTATCTGCAGATAAACTAAGAGACACTCTACTCGTCGAATTATTATGAGTCATCCTCCTAAGCTTCGAAAAGTAAAACAATCTGGCAGCAGGCAGTTATATGTTGTTGAGAACAACAAATGAAGTGTAAGGAAGCTTGATGAGAATATCCTGGCAATAATAAGGCCATTGCCTAAGCTAGCTGATAGTTAATAAGGGTTTTAAGATCTGCTGACACAATCAAAACTTCATGCAGTATGTCTGTTAACTTCATTAGCATAGGTTACTTCCACGAGACTTTATCAGCTACAACCTTCTACTTATCTTCTTCCTCCCCCCACCAAAAGGAAAGATGAAAAAACAGCAATCAGATATGTACATAACTGTGTTGACGACTCCTAAATAACACTACTAGTGTAGTTTATAAGTACTCTACTTAATTAAAATATGCATAGGTCGTGAAGCGAAAGCTCATAATTAGATGATTCAGAGATCACAAGGAAAATAAGTACTCTTTGTTACAACATTTCATATTCACAGTAGGTGGAGCAAAGATATGACAAGAATGGAATAGGAAATGGGAAAAATGAAGAATCATTCCTTACCTTTGAGATTGCTGGCTGCATAGTTCCCCTGTATGATGCTGCAAGGCCAAGCATCAATCCAACAGTTGTACTTTCGTGTTCCTACAAGGGACAACATCACCGGAAGCAGAAAATAAGCATGTGTCTAATAGATTCATCCAGTGTTATCAAGGGCGAAAAGCGCAAAAAAGCTCTAAGGTCCATTGGGGCTTTAAGCGCAAACGCAAATAAAGCACGTGTTTTAATGAAGAAAGGCTCAAATGCGGGGAAAAAATATAAATATGTATGTGTAGTCCAAAACTATTAATTATAAGCATGAATAATAAATATATGAACAAAGAAATAGAAAACAATTACGATAAACTGAAATATCATTGTTCAGTATTGCCTCTTTAGGATTATGCTCATTGGCAAAGAAAAGTATGCCGTAGAGCCTTGATGACAACACAAAAGTGCCCACTAAACCCGCTAAGCGAGGTAAAGCACTCAACATGTTTAGCATCTCGCTTCAGGGCTTAAGCACACTTTAAGCGCGCCTTTGACAACACTGGATTCATAATGCATTTAACTCCACCTCTATATGCTAACCTAATCTTTCCAACTTATAATTGTAATATACTCGAAAAGATTTTGAAACCTGACTATTGTTACTTCAAACAAACATGACAACGGATTGATGCCACTTAAAAGTCTTCATTCTACCAAGATGAGAACTTCAACTACGCAGGTTGTAGTTATCCTCCCAACCTTCATGTGTAATCCAAATAAATTCTACTTTGCATAATCACATAGCATTCTAGCTTTCAACACCCTTTTTTTCCTTTTCAAAAAGAAACATAGCACTCTAGCTCAAATGCAAGTCGACAGTACCAAACAGTTACTTTAGTAGCTTTCACAAAATTCATCATTTCCTCTTTCCCCCAATAGGAGCAGGAAAATCATGTTACATGATATATGCAGTACAAATAGAAGTCTGATGCGTAAAATATGTTGAATCTGAAATATGAAAAGAATATTGTAATTTAGGTAAGGAGGAAAGCACTTCCTTAAAACAAGATCGGTNTGCTTAAAATAAGATCGGCCCTAAAAGAAATAAACAACCTGAGAGTAATATTGGTATATATCAGTTATAGTTAAGACGCGAAGATGTCCATGTAATCCCAAAGCAAGTAATAATCCAGCATGAACAACATTGGGCTCTTCAGGTTTGTTATACAATATCCATGTTCTTGACATTTTTCCCTGCATAAGCACATGACAATGCATCAGAACATTAGGAAACGATATCAACTGAGCAATTAGAAAACTATCTACATAAGACACTGGAAGAACAGTGGGAGGAAACCGCATGCAGAATGGATAAAGTACTTCAAGAGCAAAACTGAACCTGAGGTGGAGCAAGTCTTAGTCCCGCAGCAACTGCATTGTGAAACTCCGGCCAAGATTTGAGTTCTTGAACATTCCGAACATTTGGATCTAAATTAACCTAAACAAGCACAAGAGGCAAGATTTACACAAAAAACTTCACAAATGCATAACTGCTGCAAGGTAGACATGGACCTGAGGGGTATATAGGTGGTTAGGGTACTGGTCACAAATGCCTAAAGAATCTACTAAACATCATGCAAAAGAACAAGCTTCAAGGATAAAAATTATTCACCGATATTATGTGTCCATCTACATTCAGTAAGTAAAAGGAATCAACCTGACTCCACTCAATTATCTCAAGACCGAACAGCTACTTTAAAGAAATACATACATAGAAAGAAATAGATGTTCACTGGAATTTGACCAGACATACCGTTGCATTTTGCTGTGCTGGCAACCGACCTGCCAAGACAAGCTTGGGAACCGTGAGCGCCTGCAGATGTTAAAACAACTTCCTTAAAACACCACAAGGTCCAGCTGCTATATTGTCGATCAAAGACTATGCTAAACTATTCCAATTGTAGAAGAAAGTAAAGAATGGTACCTCCGTCAAGAGAGTGCAGGTTGTAGCAAGTGTAAATGCACCACGGCCAAAGGGAAGGGCAGTAGTCCTTTGAGCAAGCTGCCATAACTGAGCCTAAAGAAAAGAAAAAAAGAGAATCTATGTGACAGACAAACACTCGCAGGGGTATGTGAGATGTAAAGGATAAAGTGATGCACATGGTCATATGTCACAATAACAATGTACAACCCGACTCGACATACCATGTTGGACATGAGTCAACCCCATTATCCCAAAAAGAGAATGCACTAGATAGGTCTGAGTGCCACAATATAAGAAATAAGCCAGATCACTCGATCAGCCTTTTGTAGATTTTAAAAGTTAATGAAATATGTGGACAAAGACTGGAACTGTCTCTGGCATGAGGGAAATTGGAAAAGAGAGGAAAAGGAACAATATTCCGATTTCTTCCCTTTTATTAGAGTATTGAGCACAGGGTAAAAAGTTATAACCTGAGCCAATACATCTGCTTGCCAGTCAGTTAGCTGGCTTGCCAACACCTACCAACTCTATGTACCCTTATAGGTATATTCTGTTTACAAAGAAAACAAGCAACATACCCAGTGCAATCCCACATAGTGGTGCCTAGGGAGGGTAGTGTGTACGCAGACCTTACCCCTATCTTGTGAAGGTAGAGAGGATGTTTCCAATAGACCCTCGGCTCAAGGTGTTTACAAAGAAAACATATGTAGGTTATTAGATCGGTAATTTAATAGGCAATAGTAACTTGTTGGTAGATAGTAACATAAGGACGGTCCATGGACATATAAATTGCAAGGGCAATAGGTCAACGTAGTTAAAAAAACCAATAGCAGAAGAGAAGAAGCACATGGTGACAATTTATAGGTAAAAAAAAGGCAAATATAGTTTAGGGGGCTTTGGGGACACCGGATAGTTTAGATAGGAAACTGACAAAGGTGTGATAGTTT